TTGGATGACTTTTTATATTGTTTATATTGTTTCTATTTCTTATTATTTAGCCAATCATAGGATTTTTAACCATGCTGTATTCTGTTTAATTTCTTTTTGCTTTACTTGCACAAGGCGGATAAAAGGATTCACTAAATAAAGCCTCATCTTTTTATAAGATTTGTAGTGCATTTAAGGATCGATTTTTGGAATAAATCTTTGGGGAAAATTACGTTATTATGATTCATCACGAAAATCAGATCAACGGATACTCCTAATAGACACTGGGATCAGGTCCTGGATCAACAAGGGGAATTAATCCGTGCAAATCATTAACGTTGATTCAAAGATTCGTATATGCGTGTGTTATGCCAGAACTTTCGGGAAAAAAACTTATTAATAGCTCTAAAAATAAACATATGTGACGTCTTACTACGTATAATGTATTTACTGCGGTTATTTAATTTTTATCATACTTATTCATCATAATAAAATAACGGAAAATTCCGAGAAATTCTACGTACATAACGATTTAAGAAATACATATTAATACTGTTATAATATCGGTAAGGGCTAGCGCAATAAATCCATCCCATCGGGGCATATAATGAAAGCAAGAAGTATTTTTCTTAACGTAATCCAGAAACGCAACAAGAATCTACAGAGTTTTTTTGCAAGTGTTTCCATATGTAATTTAAACAATAATGAATATGTCTTTTATTACGTTTAAACCCGTCATACAATATTACAATTTCTCTCTGAGTATTCTCTTACATGCAAATATACTCCCATATAAGTTACAACAAAAATAGTTGCGATACCAACATATATGTTTCCTACAAAGTGAAAAAATATTGGTACGATAAAAGATGAAAAAATAATGAAACAAATTCGATGAAAATTCATTGAAGGTGGCTCGTAATTAATCTTTGGTAAGAGAGCTTGATCCTCTATCAGAATAGAATGGTAAAATGAGATATAGAATATGAATCTATTTGCTATAAATTAAGCAAACTTTTTATATACCATTAAACTCGGTTCTTGTACCATCAGGTGTAATAAGCGTTTGCACTTGTTCGATACCAAAATTACGTTGAGCATTCACATTTCTTTGTAGAACCCGGCCTACTGAATATCGAGGCAGAAAGTGAGAATAGTTT